AGAAAAAAAAACCACCAGAGCATAAATATTCCGTTACTTTCGTATCGAAAGTCGGAACAATAATTTGCTTTTTCACATGTGACAAGATGCCAACAGAGACATTTCTGTAAAAATGATGGATTAAACCTAATGAGAATGGTTAATTCAAATTTACTTGACGCGCAACAAGAACTATACAAGATTGTAAGCATGGCAAATTGAAATCGGCTTGTGATAAGTTCGCTGAGTTTTTGAATCAAGAATATTCACGTTGTGTCTCTAAAAAGATGAAATTTTGAGAGGAAATCAAAAACTTGGGTAAAAAATTACCACGGATGAAAAAATCTGTAGACAAAACAAAAAATACATCGTGTACAATTTTGTCTTCAGAGACAAGAATCCAAAATATTTTTAATGTCGCCAAATCTCACTATATTATGAATCTCTATTATTTATTGCTTTTTTTGCTTTATCATTCGATTTTATCTACTGATTTTGCAAGGCAATTACAGTTCCCAAGCAAAAAGTGCGGTTTGCTAATTTTTGTAAAAATTAAAAATGATTTCATTTCTTAACGTAGTTTCCAAAATGCATGTTTGTTTTGTGGTGGGACCAAGTTTCCCTAAATGAACACAAGTTAAGCAGGTCTAGCAGCGTTTATAGTCGGTCAGTTTTGAACTGTGCCGAGGTACAAGTCGCCGGCACTGGAGTTTATGGATAACAATCGACTATATTGGTTTCTTCCTGTCAGGGTCTATAAAATTTAAAAATTACCGATTAGAACCGATTAAAATTATTATTTTTTGCAGATCAATAAAATCCTTCTTAATCGATTACATTCAATTAAAATGTATTGTCAATTTTTCTGAAACTATTCTTAAAATTTGCGGTATAAACACAGTGTAGTATATTCAAAACTTAACAGTTGTTTTCGGATTGAAACACGTGAAATCAGATAAAACTTGGTTTACTTTGGCTTGGAAAATAGTTATCTTGTTTTTTTTTTGGCTCACATTTATTCACTTAATTTCTTTGTTTTCGAATTTTTTTGCTGATCTTTTCTTTTTTTACTATATTCTCTCTAAAAACCTATTTACGTCCCTTGTCGTTGTCCCTCCAAAATACGACCCCTCTCCAGTGTAGACACCCCCCCCCATATCACGTGGGATGGTAACATAGTGGTAAATTTTTCTTGTATCAAATTGAGTAGGTTTAGATTGCGAGTAGGCCGTAAGTAACGCAGATATTTTGCAAGTTTTGCATAGAATTTTGCACAAAAAAAGTTATCCATTATAATCAGTTATAGTGAATTTTAATGGATTGTGTTGTTACGGAAATAGTCGATTCTAATGACAATATTTTCGATTTTGGGGTCTAAATTTTGGCAGACTTATTTGGTTCGAATTTATAACACTTCTAATAGGGTACACTAGATTGTATTCATACAACCTCTGCTGAACTTTGAGGAGCTCGGTACCAACAGTCCGTGAGAACAGCCCGGTTCAACAACCCGTGAGAATCTGTTTGCGATTCTCATGGACGATACAATTAATGAAATCTTGCTCTCAACTTCAACTGCTGACAGTGAACCTCCTAAAAATGCAAAGAAGTGCTACTAAAATTGAGAAAAAAATTGGAGGACAGAATTCGGGCACAAATTATATGGCCAGTTATTTTCTGAAGTTGTTAGTTGCTTGCTTTAAATTTATCTGTGAAACAGTTCATTTTTTTTTAAAATCCGGGATATTGGCTGAACTACCCGCATTTAAAAAAAGTGAAAACAAATCGATTATAATGGAGTTTCGTGGTCTATAAAGTTGTAAATATAATCGATTCCCATGTTACGCTCAGACAACAAAAGTGGACTAAAAATGGATTTTGATCCGTTTTTTTTCCGCAAAAATATAATGCATTATAGTTCAATTGAAATCTATTATAATGGATTATATAAGAAATAAAAAATCACAATAAAAAGGATTTTTTTTTTCACTTTCCTTGTTTAGCTTTTTAAAATGCATTATAATTAATTTAAAATCCATTATAATGGATTATATAATAAGTAGAAAATCACAATAAAATGGATTTTTTTTTACTTTCTTTGTTTCTTTCCGTTGAAAAATGGATTATAATGGATTATATATTAAGTAGAAAATCACAACACAATGGATTTTTTTTTCGCTCCGTTGAAAAATTGGTTGCAATTTTAAATTGATTCCCTCATTCATAATATATTTCATAATCGTTCAGCATCGCAATTATCAACTCCACAACCTGCATATCACAGAAATGAGCTCAAGTTTAGCAGGAGACAATTACAGCCAATCATAATATGGTTTAAGAAAAAGAAATCAGACTGCTTGTAAATTAATTTTGTCGGTTGGCCGAGCTGGATTTTCAGAGTATTGAGATTTAGTTTCTGCACCCCTCCTGAGTTATCATAGTAAACTTGAATAAACATCATTTTTGCTTTTTTCATTGATTCTGAGGTCGCACGTTTTCAAGTTTTTTTCTTCGAAAAATTGTAAGTAAAAAAGGTAATAAAAGCTTTTTTTACCATTTTAGAAAAACTAAAAATTATCAAGATAAATACTACAAAGTTGCACCACCAACGATATAATGACCTGAGAAATTAAATGGATTAATTGATTCAGCGTGATATAATATTAGACAGAAACAAAAGTTAACAAAAGTAAAAAAAAAATCGATTTTAATGGAGTAAAAATGGATTTTGTTGCCTCGAAAAATAGTAACATTGTAATCCATTTTTAATTGATTATAATCAATTTTTTTTTCACTTTTGTGGGCAGTGACAACGAAACTCAATTATAATCGATTTTTATTCATGGAAATCCAATGCGGGTAGAAACAAATTCTCAGTCTTGAAAGGAAAAATCAGAACTCAGTTTGGTTGAAGGAAAAAAAGAGCACAACCACGCAATTTGTGAAACATTTTCGTTCTCAATCAAATTGAGAACGTTTTTTTTTCCAGAGAGATTTGAAACAGGGCAAATGAACAAACACAGAAAAATCATTCTTTCCGCTGTAACTCGGAAGCCAAATTTCAACGAGTCGAGTAATCTTTGCAACTAAACACTTGCTGTGCCGGAGATTTAACGCAACCGCCGATTTTAATGATTTTCATCAACCTGAATAAAGTTTAAGCTCCATTTATAAAGAGGTGCTGTTTATCGCCCTAAGCAAATTGGTAATGGCGTGAGATTTTACCGGTTTGATGAAAACGTTTAACTTCAACCTGATGGGCAGACTTTATAAGGATAAGACTTGTGTCGCAAACCGCCAAGATTTCAAAACTGCGAGTTATATGCACATTTGCTTGTCATTAATTTTGAATTCGTTCTGTGTCAAGACACGAGTTAAAAGCGTTTCTGCATACGCTGTTCAACTTGCTTTGATCTCTGAAAACCCAAAAAAGCAAGCGAAGGCTATCTGCTTGCCAAATGAAACGACAATCGTTTTCTGACTCTTCAGCTAAAATTATCTGTCTAACGAAAAATGAAAATGTTTTATTGTAATCACGAGCAAAAACTATCAAATTACTCAGTCATTAGATTGAAAAGATAATGGTTTTCCTTTAATCGAGAGACGTTTTGATGACTGCGTCAACAGCGATACCAGTTCTCGCTTTACTGAGAAAAGGATAGCAAAAAACTACGTCCTAATGAGTTTTGGTATATAGAATATTGACTTTCAAGAGCAGCGGTGACTCGATTTACTCTCGAAACCAGTCCTATTATATGGCTTCGATACCTGCGTCATCAGAAGTGTTGGTTTCGATAGACTAGAAGCGGTAAAAACCGTGCAAAGAAGATGAGTCTTTTGCATGAAAACATATCAGATATGACACTGCTGTAAATTAGTGATAGATTAAAAGTCACATTCTAATCAAGTTGCAGGAGGTTCAACCTCCGCTCTTTTTCTGAAAACAATGTCAAGGGAGTGAATGAGCTACAAACTTTGGTGTGGCAAAAACTGGTAAGTCAGCTATGGCAATACCTTAATAGCCATGGACTCAAGTCAAAGTGTGTCGAGGATAATTAGTAATTATAAAACTCATTCACCAAACTTAAGTTCTCTGATAGTAACGAGTTGGTAGCACATTGTCAAAAGGTTAGAAGAGTTCATTGTGCTAAAGAAAACAGAGAGTGGACAAACCGCATCAAACCATAAACCATAAAGTAGTACAGAAATTGACATACGCTCTGTTCCTACAGAGTTGCCCTGTTAGAAAATCAACTGATAAGCTGCCAAGTTTTGAGCGCGCTATCTTAGCGTGTCCACTGAAAAGGTAAATGAAAGCCGACAAGGGCGTCATGAACTCTACCGTTTAAATATCAAAATTCCGGTGGATCTATTTCATTTCTTTTGTTGGTGTTGATGACTCGATAAAATTAGAAAGCTTTACCCCCGAAGCTGTCAGGAACTGATTATCATAAGCAGCGCAACAAAAATTAGCACTTGAAGAGGAATTACCTGTTGTGCAAATAGTAAAGTATGTTCCGACCACAGTTAATACTGTGCTTTGAGTGTTGAGGGTTTAGTTCTAAGTTAATTTTATTAATCGGTTTCAATATTAAATATACTGTCTTGTCTGACTTATATCTGGTAATTTTGCGTAACACTTAAGTGGCTTTTGAGTAAAAAAAAGGAAAAAAACTACAAAATTTTTTACATCCAAATACAAAGTTACTTTCCCACATCAAGGCCGAAGCAAAAACATGGTAAAAAATGTTTAACTGAGAGGGTCAAAATCTAGCGAAAGTTGGTCAAGCATGACAAATAAGGAATACGTCCATTAGCTCGACACGGGATCTCTGTTCATGATTTTGAGATTACATTACATCATTCCTTTGAGATTACTCGACCGCCAAGCTAAAGTTTCATTTTCAATTGGCATGTTTTTGTCAAACATGCTGAGTTCCTGGTGTTAAAAAGCAACAATAACTCATTTGTTAGAAAAAATATGAACACTTTTCTAATATAATAGTTTGTGAATAGGCTCTTTTAAAAAATGAATGGTAATTCAATGCACCGCAAATGCAATTCAATTGCAGTTAAAAGTTCTGAGCTATGCGCCTGCATGAAATGGTTGTCGTACATTTTGATAACTTCCATTGTCAGTTTGTGGTTGCAATGACTTCTATTTTAAAATGCATTTCATCTCAAACTTTCTTTTAAGCTAAATTCAATCTTAAAACGCAAATGATCAAAAAAATTCAACTCAACTTTAGTTAGGTCAAGGAATCTTTTATGCAAGATTAGAGCAAGAAATTCAACCTCAGGAGCAAGGAATCTATGACTGATCAAAGGTAAATTTGTTCCATTTAAAAACCCCTTCCATCCCATCTTCCAAATCTTGAAAGATTGATGAAAACAATATCGAACTAAACCGCTGATACAAACAGTGTGAAAAGCTGTAGCCCATTTGAGGTGATGCCAGTGAACGCTACGCTCCCCTGAAGGGTTTATCCTCTTGGCCACTCATTCACTATAGTGCTTTGAGAGATAGAGAGAGCTTAGAAAAGCAGTTGTTTCATCTAAAAAAGGTCGACCAACGTTTTCGATTTTTTTTGTTATCGAAAATATTTCAATTTTTTTCGTATTCGATTTTTTTACAAAAAAAATTATATCCCCTCTTGGTTAATGAAGGAGCTGCGAAAATGAGCTTGAATTTTGAACCTCTAGAGATTATGTAGGCTCTTATTTAGTACTTGTGAAACTTTTTGAGGCAAGCATTGGAGAAAAAGTTTTCGTTGAAATATAAAATATCTTGACAACTAAGCATCCTTGTTTTGATGCCTTGTCTGAAATCGATTACCCGAAATAAAAAAAAACTCGATTGACATTTTTATGCATTCAAGATCAGGATACTAACAGAAACACCAACTTGGGAGTTCTAAATTCCCAACTCAATTGTCCTTTTTCAACTCGTTTGCAAAGTTTTAAGTTCAAACTGGCTATCCAATGGCATGGAATGGTACCTAGTTGCTGGGCTACTGTACAACTCACTGGCTCTCACATTTTTTCTTTTATTTGAAGTGCTAAAATTTTCGTTACCTTTGAGTAAACGAACCACTCAAAACTAACCTTTATAAGTAAATACGGCACCAAATTAGCATCAGTTTTTTCCGTGTTTTTTTTCAAGGCGAGGATAAACAATCTTGTGAGCTCAAACTTTTTTTTCTACTTTTGTTGACGAAGGTCAAAAGCTGACGAACTTAAAATGAAATATAAATGCCCGAGTAAGGTTTTAAAACAAAAATACGGATGCTTATTTGTCTGTAGGTAGTTTAAAAAACTAAGCTCTATCAAGAAATGAAAGCGTTTCCGACGAAATCAATGAATGTTTTTATTTCCGGTTGCAAAGAAGGAATCAGGAAACACCGACTTAAATATGCAACGAAAAATGACCGGAATTTATGACAGATGCCATCATATATTTTTGTTCTTTTTTTGAGCTTTCGACATAGAATTGTAGATTCCGTTTGTCAGTCGAGTTTTATTACGTAAATAATATACTTACCAGCGCTATAGTACAGAAAAAAAGTACTGAAAAATCAACGAAAATGCCTCAAGAGAAAAAATTTTAAATTTACACTTCTTTGACCAAATTTTATATCTTTTCTTGTTACTGAGAACAAAATATTATGCCCTTGACAGGAGTTTACAAAGATAAGTGAGTAAATAATCCTAGGAAAGCGAGTAAATAATCCGACAACTGTCAAATAGTTCAGATGAGGATTGATTTAAGTAAGAAAAGGGTTTGGAGAAAAATAGAGTGTGAATCAATTTTAAGACAAACTTTATTGATGAAACTCAAAGCAAAATTAACAGGATTCTAAATTGATCCAAATTTTTAGTTTTTGTTTTTTTACTCACAATTTACGCTTTCCAACTAAAATTGGACAATTCATAAACATTTGAACCTGTGAATAATTATTACTATAAAGAAGATGTGTAAAATAAGACTTAAATCGGTTTTTTTTTGTTTTGAAAGGTTTTAATTTGAAACTTATCAGTTTATAATTCAGTTAAACTAGTTTTCAACATTAAATTTTGACTTCATTTTGATCAAACAACATAGAAATTAAAAAAGATCAAAGCTATCCAACTCTTATTTAGACAGGGTAAATTATAAGTAAATCATAAAAAGTAAAATGTGGTTTTCACTTGAAGTCGAGAGTTTTAGCCCAATTTTAAGCAAGATTTGAGCGGTTTGAATGGTTTTTATAGACAATTGCGCTCAAACTCCTGCTCTAGAAGGAGCGGTTTGAGTAAATGTTGACAGGGTTTCTCAAAAACGTTTAGCGGTTTTTAATTTGACTTCATAAGAGAAGTAATCAGCATTGAGACTTTTTTCTGGGCCCTGGAACCCTGCTGCAAATATACCTTCGAGAACAATTTGTAAAAAATGGTCAAGATTTGCAAAGATTTGAGCGGTTTCCAGCAATTTGATTGTTTCTTGCTAATATTCGAGCAGTTTTTAAACCGTTTGGACGGTTTGACTGCAATTGTCTAAAATAGTTGCTCAAACCACTCAAATGTTGAGCAGTTTTTGATGGGATCTCGACTAGGGTCGTAATGATAATTGACTTCAAGTCAACTAAAGGCACTATAAGTGCAATTGTTCCCAGATGATTTTTTCAGTTTTTTCCTGATTTGCTACGAAAAACTGCGTTGAGTTTTGTGGAAAAATGGAATTTTTTCAATTATGCCCGAATTTACTATTAATCACCACAGGAACCAATATAATAGAGGATTTTTAAGGAATTTAAAAAAATAAATAAAAATGTTTCCGGTATACAACTACAACTCTCCTTGAGTGTCTGTAGATCATCTTGAGCTTGTTACTATTTTGGGCACAATTTTTGCTCAATTTCGCGCAAAAAAAAAAACAAAAATATAAAATTTAATTGAGGATAGAAAACTGATTTTTCACAACTTCAGAAAAAGTATATCGGTTTTTGCGATTGCCGGATGAATTTCATTTGCTATCCAATTAATTTAAACCAATTCTTGGGTTGTGAAATTCTACTTAATCATAAATTCTCTGTAGACATCTTTTTTATTGATTTAAAAACGTTTTTGATCCCAAAGCTTACATATGTTTTTTTTGTTTTAAATTGATTCTTCATTTGAAATCAATTTTAAATATGTTAAATCAATGCAAAAATAATTTTATTTTAACGAGTTTTTCTAAACAGGTAGGCACAATCAAATGCTAATTGTGACTTTGATTGTTTGTAAGAGTTTAAAAATTGTGCGTACTGCATAATGAGAGAATTGGCATTTTTAAGTGCCGAATTGTTCTTGAGTTGTCAAACAAAAGCACTGTTTTTTTGCAGACGGTAACTATGGGAATTTATTCTCGTCTCGGTGGATGCAGTTTTTTTTGTAAAAAAAAATCCAATTAAATTCCTTCCATTACTATTTCGAAACAAATCATTTGTAATTGTAAGAGTTTGAACTACCATTGTACTCTCATTTTGACTAATTTTATCCGAAGTCGAGTCCAGCACAAAGTGGTTTCGACTTTTCTGTTTGTACTAACTTGAATTTTTTACCAAATTACTTTTGGACAAGCTATTTACATTGTCTCAAAGATCTGGACAATCTGAGATCAATTTCTAAAAAATAATAATTTATTTCAAATAATTTGTCCCGAAGTCAGAAATTGTTCCTCGTTGAATATAGGCGAACTACGTGGTCTTATTATATCGTATATAGAGGTTGAAGTCATCACTTTGTACTTAATGTGAAAAACTTTAGAAAAAAACTCCAACACATCGGTCAACCGAATTTCTAGAGCGAAAGATCTATCAATAGAAGTATAAACAATTCGGCTCTTTTTCCCCCAGCTGCAAATTTTTATAGTTAAAATTACTGTTTAGATTGTCAGATTGTCATGAAAATTGAGACGCAGACTAACTTAGCAATGACATACAAGTTTGGTCTTCATAATCAACCTTGTAAGACCACACGTTAGACCTTAAAATTGATGCTCGTTTGAGGTGGGGGGAAAGAAAAGAGCCAGCAGTTCTTTAATTGCGTTTTTTGCTACCTAACAAACTGATTAACTGCAGATGCGTTTTCCAATTGCCACGCTCATGGGTGGATTTAGAATTTTCTTTTCTGAGGGGGGGTGGGGAGGGGGTTTAAAAAACTTTCAAAATGTTGTTGGCCTTTTTAGTCTTTTTTGAAATCAACCGAATAGATTTTCTAAGCTCTACCAGATCACTTTTATGACCACAATTTACACAATTTTTCTGCGCCGCAGCGAATTTTTCAGGCGTTTCTAGGCAACTTTGGAAAATTTAGACAAAAAATTCGCGGTTTTTGGAGAGCGCTTCTCCCTAAAAGTTAGGTTATATTAACGCCTAAGGCGCATTTAAGAAATATGAGGGTCTCTAAGAAATTGAATTAGTAAATACTAACAAAATGGGGAGCTTTTGGGTCGTCAGGTGGTCCAACCCTCATTAGGTCGTCATTTTCCAAAATCTACCTTTCAAAAGTTTTTTTCTACTTTTTCAAGCTCACTAATTTTAATGGTGTTCAAAGGTCACCTTTCAAAAAAGTTACTTTGATCGGAATGCGTAAGAAACTGCGGATAAAATTTAATCACTTCATTTTTGCTATATTCTTACTGAAAATTAGTTTTTTTCGTTTTTTTAATTTTTTTTCAAATTATTTCAAAAACTGCATTTCTTGCAAAAATTGCTTCTAGGTAACCAGCCTTAAGAAAATGGTTGTGAACAAAACTTTTTACCCCTTTAACTATTCGAAAAACACTTGTGACACGCCACTGACCGAAGCAGTGTAAAAATTAACGGTTAATTGATAAGAAGAAGGAAAGTTTTTCAGAAGCCTCGCAAACTTACGAAAAATCAATCGATATCAATCGAACAAAAATGAACAATAATTTTTAAGCAACAGATAATCAGTACATTGCCAAAAAAGGCAAATTATTAAGTATAGTAGTTTGAATCAGAAAAGTTTCTAAAACTTTCTAGTAGGGGTGGGTTTTCAAAATAACTTTTTGTCGATCTTTTTTTTAGGTCGACCAAATTGATTTCGATCTCTCCCCCAACTTACTACAAAAACTCTTTCGCTAAAACGCTAAATCTATTTTTTTTAAACGGAAAAATAGATATATAGAAATTAGAGTTTAAATGATTGCAACGCAAATTACATAAATAAATGGATAGGTTGGGTCGTTTATTGTTTCAAACATTGAGAATGTGTAGGAACTTTGTATTCGGGTGTGTCTTTTTCCTTTCAATTTTTTTCTTCTCGCAAAATCAGGTACCTTAAATAATCATTGGATAAGTATATCATTTTAACTTATGATTCGCACGACAATTTCAAATAATGTAAGACGTTTTCTCAGTGTCAATTAAAATGTTTGATTTTTGGTCTTGCAATTAAAGTGAGCGAGTTGGCTTTGTTTGTTATATCAACTATTAGCAGTTACTACATATAATCGTCGAAACGGACGGAGAGATGAAACAGTTTCATCGGTGATTCGAAAAACAACAAAAAGAAATTTCAAAAGTTGTCGCAGTGCTAAGAAAAACTGGTTTTTGAGTTTCAGTTCAATTTTGAGCAAGTAAAGCAATCGAGCAGGCCTATTATAGGAAGATAAGCCGTGGAACTTCGGTTTTGCTCCAATAAAATTAATTATGAAAGTTTTTTAGCACTATCTAAGGAATAAAAAAAGCTTCAGAAAACAGAAAAAAAAAGATTTTTTTGATTCATTGTGTTTTTGTAATTTTTCGAAAAAACGATATATTTGCTTTTTTTTACATATGATTGTCAAAATTTTCAAAGTTTTAGTTTTTCAAATCCTGTTATGGCACCACGCACAATAAATGACAGTAATTTGAAAAAATACATACATTTTTTTTTAGGTAAACTTTTTATGAATATGGTCGGACTATTATTTGCTAACGTGCACATTAACCGGTTATCCTTGTTTTTTTAGTTATCTTTTTATTCTAATATGTTGCTGGTGGTGTCTTTGATCAAAACACTTGCTGGCACACCCCTGAAAGATCTACTTCTGGTTGATTGGTCTGGTTTATTGGTTCCGTGTACAAACCTTTTATTTGTTGTTTCCTTTTTGTTTTCAGGGTGTAAGTTTCTACAAGATTTTTAGCTGGGCATAGTTAGTTTTTATGGCCGTTTTGTTGCTGTTTAAAAAGAAAGCAATTGTAAAAAATTTTTTTTAAAGAGAAAACATAAAAATAAATGACTAGTGGCAAAGAACATGATGCATAGAAGATTCAAACCGGTTTCGCCGTCAGTTTTTCACAGTCAATTTCAATCAAAACAGTCCTTGTTGGGTTATTTTTTAACTTCTGTTAGAAGTGATTTTAGAAAATTGCCTTTTTGATGCTTGTCTTAAAAATCAAAGAATTGATAAATCATTTTGGCAAGGAAACTTTTTTCAGTTTGCTCATGATAAGAAAATTCTTTTATCAGGTTAAAGAAAAAAGCGATTTATTTTTGTCTGATTTTATCCATAACCGCCTGTAAAAAACTAAGATGTCTTGCAACAATAACAAAATCTTTTTTCCCGTTTAGCATTCAGTATTTTGGTTGATGCTTTAGCTGCAGTTTCTCACTTAGAAGCAGACAAATTCGTCGATTCGGCCTTCGCATCTTCCTCGGCTCCCTTTTTCTGCTTTTATTCAGCAATGTCAGCGTGGTCGTTGTTTTTCAAAACTCGTTTGAAAAAATTATCAGAGAGCAAGAGGTCACGGGATCGAATCCAGACTATGTCCAGAGCAACAATAAAACAGGTTATAACGGACAATAAAATATCAATTGCATTTTTTTGTCTTTTTAGTTTTAATAACCATAACATTGAGACGAAAAAAGTATATTATTTTTACATTTTTTTTTTCATAGATTCAGCCTATGGCTTCAATGTGAAATTAATAAGCAAAAAGGTGAAACTTGACGAGTCACAACTAATCCAAGAACGTCTCTCTGACCGAATAGCCCATGGACCTTTTCTCGGCTGTGACGGCCTAATTAGAGACATGGCTCTTCCCTACGCTCCGGCGGCATTTCACCCAAAAGTCCTCAATTGGACTCGGCAATATTCATCAACCGAGATGTGCAAAACAAAAGATGTTTGGAACGCAACTTGTTGTCAGACTGTTTATTTTTGGGGCAGTGGAAAATGCGGCAGTACGACTATGGCAATGTTACTCAAACATGACCCGAACGTTGGTTATAAATTTTACGACCCTACTTCCGGTTTTGTCGACGGGGGCAAAGAAGCGTGTTGGGCACAGTCGTCTTCTGGCCAGAAAGAGTTTTTCAAATTGTTTCCAAAATCAAAATGCGGCACTAATACATCAGAGGTTGAGAATGGACTAGGTTATAATATAATCATTTTTGCAAAGACTTCTTCTCAATTAATTGAATTTTGAAAGTTAAAATAGGTCAATAAAAATGAAAAATTTCGAGTTAAAAAGGAAAATAAAAGTTTAGAAGAATTGGATTGGAAAAATTGAGGATAGTTCTAAAATATGTTTTTTTTTGTGGTTCATCTCAACTTCTGTGATCAGTGTGGTAGTGCTAACTCGGATGGTCAGACCTTAATTCTAGATGGGTGCCCGAGGTACTCAAGAATTACTGAGGTAGGTCACTTCATGGTTTTATTTCTTCGAAAAAATAATTTCGCATTCCGGCGCTTTTCCCTACAAACTCAGTTTATGACGATAATAATTCCCGTTTTCCTATTCGCGAGGATCTATGAAAGGCTTTGCAGTCTGTCTAAGCATAATCCGTTTCTAAAGTTAAGGTAAAAATTCATTGAATGAGTTCGAACGAAATCTTGTGTGTTCAGCGGTGATTCAAATCGAATTTAAACATTTCCAGCTGTTTAAAATGTTTTTCAGCGTCGTAAAACGAGATTTAAATTTTCTTAATTGATTTTTACCGCACCTTCGAAGTTAACGGTATTTGAACATTTCCATTATGGTAAAATTGTTGATCTATTTTAAGCTCAGCGCGATTTGCTTAAGCGCGGTTTAGAATTATTTGCACTCCACTATCTTTATTCGAAATTGAACTGATGCAGGCCCAATTGGTTCCACCAATTCCCAGCAAGGTTCAAATTATAAACACTAAGTAGCTGACATTGACTTTGACTAGGTACTTGATGTCTTCAATGACAAAACTAGTTTGGACAACCAACATTAAACAGTAAACGAACCATTGTGAAATGAGTTTTGAAACACCTAGAGAACGATGTTTGACTTGAAGTTCTAGGTTTATTGTGCAAAATTTTATTGCAATGGGTAAATTTTAGTTGTTCAAACAGTTTTTCATTTATATGAACTATAGAAGATGCCCAAGTATTTTGAAATGGAGTGTTTTCAAGAATTCTTTGAACTTATAAAAATCGTCAAAAACTGCAATTGCAAATTTATGTGTGAAAAATCCGTTACGAGGCCAAAATGTGCATTCTGTGCATTGTAAGTAGATTCCGTAACAGGCCAAAATCAGATTTGTCCCGGAATCTGCAACATTAATAGTTTTCTTTGATCTTCTTAGCTGTTTTGTATTCCACAAACAAATACCTAAAAGACTTTACCACTCAAAACCGCTCCAGAAATAGGCAAATTTGCGGTAACCGCAACTGTATTTGCGGAATCCAGAACAATTCGTGGAATCCACAAACAAACAATTAGACATGTGTATTGTTAAAATGAGCTGTTGCGGAATCCGCAACTGTAAGCGGTATCCGCGAATTGTTAGTGGAAATCGCAAATTGTAAATGGAATCTGCATTTTGTTTGCGGAATCCGTTTACATATATGTTTATATCTTTTAAAGTTTTTATATTTTAATTACAAGATGGAGACCAGCAAGTTCAATCTCAATTACTTAATTACTGCGTTGATCAGATACCTGTTGCAAAGCCTGCCGTTCGATCCCAATTCCTTTCAAAAAACCAGCTTCAGAATTTGGGGTTGATGGAATTTCAAATACTTACCAGTATGTGGGATCAATGGAATCACAAATACTGAACTAATTCGGCGATATACTGTGCATTGTTTTTCTAAACACCCTCAACCCATTGACTTCAAATAATTATTTTATTCCAAAGTATTCCAGTACTTGGAATTCCATCAATCCCAAATACTGACTAGTATTTGGGATCGATGAAATCCCAAATACTAACAAATCGGCGATATGCTGTGCGGTGTGTTTCTGAACACTTTCAACCCAATGACTCCAAATAAAGAATTTCTTCCATATTTATTCCTTGATATTCCAGTATTTGAGATTCCTTCAATCCCAAACACTGAAAAATCGGCGAAATGCTGTGCGGTGTGTTTCTGATCACTTTCAACCCAATTTATTCAGTGTTTTTTTTCCAAAAGTATGAGCCCAAAAAATGCTTGTTGGGATATGTATCCCAAATACTAGAAACTGATATCCACCAATTTAGTTATCCAAGGTCCTAAACTTTTAAAATCCGCATTGCTAAAGATAAGCATTCCAGCTCTAGCTTTTAATTGTTCATATGCAAATTGGTAATCAGCAAAATTAGGAGTCCAATTAAAGTTTACGGATTCCACTTACATTTGGGGATTCCACTTACAGTTGCGGAACGCCAAAAAACTGGCTAACACTGCTTGTTGCGGAATCTTTGACACAACAAATGTGCCAACAAAGTTTACGTTACAGTTATTTGTACGCGGAATCGACGGAAATTTTGTGAGTGGAATCCATTTACCTTTTGGAACATGCTTGAAGATCAGTTTCTAGAATCCGGGAACATGCAGACACAAAATTGTGCGCCTATCCAGCGCACATTTTGGCCTCGTTATGTCGAAAAACTTGTGAAGAAAAAGCGCAAAATTTCGAAATGTCAAACAATAAGATGTTAAATCGAACGCTTTTTGCATTTGTCATTAGAGATTGAACAATTTGGGATTTTTTGCTTTTGCATCATGCCCCTAATTTTTGTCAAATTTTTACATGAAACTTGTGTTTTTAAGAATAATGAACGTAGTGAAGACTCTTATATAGATCTTGCTGATTTTTTTTTTCAGGAAAAAGTCTTTAAATGCTCTAATAACTACAGATGTGCATTCATACATATTGATGCACTTAAATATATATGCGCTTTTTGAGTTCAATTGAAATTCATCTGCTGAAATTGACGTAAATAGCATTCTCCAAAAATGATCGTGGAAATGGCGCGAAAAAACGTGAACGATTTCTAGTCTCGAGAGCAGAATTTATTTTTTTTAGATTCCAGTGGAATAAAAATTTTACTTGTTGAACCTGTTTTCGGCTCTTTTTCCTTTTCCCCCACCTCACATATACATCAATTTTATGAAGTAACGAGGGGTTTTACAAGGTTAAGTATGAAGACCAAATATGTTTATCATAGCCTAATTAGTCGGCATACCAATTTTTGTAACAATCCGATGATGTGAACAAAATTTTACTTTTAAAATTTCGCTGGTGGGGGGGGGGAAGGAAAAAGAGCACCGTTTTCTCAATCTGGGTTATTGCTATCAAGAAAACGCCAATCATAAATCGTTCTAGAAAATCAAAAAGTTTTAGGGGTATCGACTCTTTTTTTGAATTTTGAAAGTTGAGATTTTTTCCAACAAAGTCAGAGGTTTTTCTTATGTTTACTTACGTTCATTACTCTTTTCCAGTCGTAGATTGGCTATGTTTTAAACTTACAGTGCTGATTTAAAGTAAAAATCGGTCATTCTGGCTTTTTGAATAAATGAGGAATTACGCTGAACCTAGCAATTATTTTTATGAGACAATTAAATCATAAAAATTCTCTTACACAGCCCAACAATGTTTTAGAAATTCATAAAACACCAAAAATTCGATTTTAGCCAAAAATTTTAATTTTTATATAGTAAAAATGACCTTTAGTCGCTATCAATTGAAAGCATATTCTCTTGTACAATTTTTTGGAAGCTTTATCTTTCTAGAACTTTTTTGGACTGTGTAAGAGGCTTCTTTTGTTGTTTTGGTATGACTTTCTCATCAATTAAATTGGCATTTCAACGTAATTCCCAATTAACTTAAGAATATCAAAATGACAATACTTTTGGTGTAAAATTTTAATTAGAAAATACCGGAAAAAAATTGCCGTATAATAATTTTGGTGATATCCTATGCAAATTTTGTTCTAGTTACTTTTTGTTTAATCTTTTCCCAATTTGAGAGAAAGGCGTTTAAACTTTCAAATTTCGTTATTTTTGTCCGGATAATTTAAATCAGCACTGAATGTTTTGAGTGGAACTCAAATTACACTCTTCAAAAATGAAAAATGAGACGGCGAAAAAATTGGTTTCTACATTTAAGTTTCAAAAGTCGTTTTTTGGAGCTATATCACTAATTTTTGAAAACAGTGATATTGTTATTTTAAAACCGTTGTTTTTTGCTTATTTTATCAAAAATATGAAAGTTCTTAGATTCGTTAATTTTTTCCAGTTACGTCTATTATTTCCATTTTTTGCTGCTCTTTGTTTTTTTTTTGTTTCAAGAACATTTTTGCCCTCTTCTCCGTGGAGCGAGTTCTATTTTCTGTGTTTTGAACTTACCGTTATCTTCAAATCATTCTTAATTTTCAAAAATCTTTTACTGGTAACCTCAACATCCTTCAAAATTTAGTTTAATGCATGATTTATCACCAACTTTTCTTATACTAATATAAACCTAATTCATGTAGATTCAAAATAGTTTAACTTTTTTAGAAACTTTTTAAAGGCCACAAAAAAACTCAGTATGATTTTTTGCGATCTGTTCCAATTTTTGCAGTTTCATTAAGAACCAATTAGAAGCAAAATTAGCTGAGGTTTGGGCCAAGATTTAGTGAGTGCGGTATTTATGACTGTAACTTTTGTTTACTAGTTTATTATTCAGATAAATGACTGTAATTTTTGTTTACTAGTTTACTATTCAGACAAATCAGCCAAACAAAAAAATTTTCCACTCATGTTTTGCTCTGCAACTTGATATTTGAGTTCTTCTTGAAACATACAGTTTTCAGCATTCTCCGATAATTAGACAGAAATTTGAAGAAAAAAGTCTGATATTTTGCAAATCATGCAAAAGGTTTCTAACTGAGTTCCGCGTTTACTTTATGCTCATTTTTGGCAAATGATGCAAGGGATTACAAGCAAGGATCCACAACTATTGTTGAATGTGCCTTAAAGAGCTTCTAATTTTCTCTATTAGATAGGGAATAAAAAATTCATAATGTTGTGTTTTTATTTCAAATGTTATATAATAATTTTTTTACCTTGTTTTAGTGGATCGTCTATTCACGTTATGTTTAAAATTAAAGATATAATATTAATTTAGTAAGCGGTTATTGAACCAATTAAGTAATCTAAATCGGTTTTGGAAGGATTTAGTAAACGAATGAGTTCAACGTTTTATCACAGCTTTAGTAACGCGTGATAAGAAATGTAACGCGTGTTAACTTCTACGAAATGGCAATTCCATCTAGGTGTCCGAATTATTTATGAATTGACCGATTTGAACAAAATTGGTTATATTTCGACCGACTTTACCCAAATTAGCGATGTTTTAACCGACTCGACTCAAGGTAAAATGTGTTCGACTGCGGTCGACCTAAGCGAGCTATGTTTCGACCGACTCCAATCAAACTGGCAATGTTTCGACCGACTCGACCGGAGCAAAAAAGTGTTCGACTGTGTTCGACCCAAGCTACGTTTTAACCCAAGCAACGTTTCGACTGACGCGAACTGTATAATGTATGCAATTCAAAATTTGGTCAACCTTGACGTTTTCACCACCAACTAGTATAATCAAATGAATGTTTTTTTTCAGACATAGTTCAAACTTATTTTTTGATCGATATCAGATTTTTCAATTTGAATATGACAGAAATATGTATTTTATTTTGTTGATCCAAGTTTCATTATTTTTTTTTGTTGAGCAAACTATCTCTTTAGTCTAAGATCAAATGTGGTCCATTTCTTGAGTTCGGCTGTGTTTCGAAACTGTGTTTGACCACGTTTCGATAACATTCTGTGCTCGACCATGTTTGGACCACGCATTGTAATCGAATTTTTGTGTTTGACTTTTTGCTCGACTATGTTTCGACCATACATTGTGTTCGACCGTAAGCCGAAATAGTGATCGTCTATGTTTTGACCATGTTTTCGACTATGATTGGAATTTGTGTTCCACCGAAAGGGATGTTTACAACCAATTCGCTCGAAATAAAAGTCGAACACCTCAACTCGTGAACCTGCATTATTTAAACAGAAAACTTTTAGCTGAATAACAATTTCGATTTTGTGCTCAGGGTGTCAATATCTATTGATGCTATCAAAAAGTTCCGTGGCACAAAAAACCCACACCTACTGACGGAACAGAATTTTTCGAAATTTTGTACTCTGAGACTTTTGTGTTGAATAAACGTAATATGATGTAGCACCTCCTGTGTTATCTACAGTTAAGTTTATAACTTTGAAATTAATTGTTTTGTTGTTTTCAGAGCTCCACTTAAAGCAAAATAGTCCAGAAGCTGTGCGCGATCAAGAAAAACTTTCTGATAATTAAAAAAACACTTGAAAATTAAAAGTAACCTTTTTTTGTTATATCTAAACCAGTTTATGTTGGACGTTATCTTTTTTAAAAAAGAAACATAAAAAGTCACAGGATTAGGCGCCTTGCATCACTCCATTCTTTGACTATTAAAAAGCCGTTGGAATGATGAAATTCAATGATGGAGAAAATTGCAAATTTCTAGACGTCTACAACTTTGCAATTTCCTTCAATATCTAATAAGTCATTTGTATATTTGGAATTATATCATTATATTCATTCGCCATAATACATAACTTCATCAATCTAACTGGTTTTAAAAGTCCGAGAACGGCGTGAATCCATATGATGATTGTATCGGTGTTAGCTAGCCAACAACCTCCTCGGTGTGAAAAATTAAAATTTTTCAGGCCCGAAAAATTTTCTGTGCAAATAATGATGCGAAATTTGTGATGATGGTTCGAGATCCAGTACTAACGGCCATCTCAGCTCACAACGACAACAACATCATCAGAGGCGCACGAGCCCGGGGATCTCAAAAGGTGGGTTGTTTACCAAGTGGCAGGTCAATAGCAGTAGATCGGTGTATCAGTAAATCGAATACGGGCGGACCAGATCAGTAAACCGAAAATGTAGAAATATATATTATACTACTTACTTTAACTGTCAATAAAATAGCAAAGACAATTATATAGGTCGTCTTGATTTTTTCTTTTGTTTTTTTTTCAAGAAAAAGTCTAAATATTTGTTTACGCTCAAATTTGATTTTCTGCAGTTTGGACTCTTTTTACCTTCACTAGACTACATCCACTGTTGAACAGCACAAATATGATCGTAACGAAAGCCGTGATTGACTTCTAGTTTCGCAAGTGGATTATAGTTTGTAGGTTTCCCAGCAGAATAGAAAAAATACTTATTGATCCTGTTTTCTCAAAATGGGTAAAAATTTATCAAAAGCGTAAATTGTTCTTGAACTTCGATGACCTTTAAGGGCATGTGTTTTCCTCTGAAAATCAAAAATTGAAATTTTTTCGAAACGGGCCAGTATTTTTTTGATTTCTTGCGGTCCTTGACACTTTTCCAACTGTCAGTTGATTCTATTTTTCAAATAATAAACACCTTTCTCCCCTGAAAATTTTATACATACCCAGCGGGTGGTTAGATTTTCAAAGCTTTGAACTATAAACAAATGCGTTTGATTTACGATTGAACTTTCTTAATTAGACGCATTGATGAAAAAAACTGAAACTACTTGAGTTTTATGAGTTCAGTAACAATATTACATCTGTGCATTGGCTCTTTTTTTCTTTCCCGACAGTTTTTGAACCAAAATAACATTTCATATAAAAAAAAGGAAACAGACGAAATTTCAACGTTCAATTTAATGATCAAAAGCGTGAAAATAGTATTCATATTCAACAAGTAACCATAACTTTTAATTAGTTAAATATGAAAGAAACACGTTTCAGGCAAAGCAAACTGTTGAAAAAAGTCAGTACCATTTTGGCGAGTTTGCAAAGATGCTCAAATCTCTACTGCAGTTTTTTCCTCCAGAAAATGTGCTGATAGTTCAAGTGGAGTACCTTAAAAACGAAAGTTATCTTCAGAGCATAATGGACGCGGTGCAAACTCATTTTGGTGCTGTTAGACGAAAAGTGAAACCTCTTCAGGCAAATAAGAATCAGGTAGATATTACTAATATAATGGCCCACGTGAAAAATTAATGCTCCCCCCCCTCTTACATAGACAAAGTGAACAGAGGCGGATTTAGGCGAAAACAACGTCTTTTTACTGCTTTGGCAGAGCTCCGAAAATCAATTTGGTCTACCAAAAAAAAAGGTCTACCTCGAGAAAATCCTAGATCCGCCTCTGAAAGTGAACAAACTCCCCCTTAAATTAAATGATCAATTCAAGCAGCTAGGCATGTAATATGCTCAAATCTGATAGGCCGAAAAAGAATGCTTTTAACCAAGTGAATAATCTCCTCCTTGAATTGATTCAGAATGAGATTGTTCACGTGGTCCAATATACTCTCTGGGTCGGTATCTATTATTTTACTCGCTAAACCAATTTTTTACGCGATCTCGTCCGCCAAAGTCTCTTCCATTGCGGCATGGGGAAACCTTAGTTTTTTATATTCATAACTTATTCAACCTGGAAAATCTTGATTCACGTGAGATCTCGTGATTTACTGTGATTTTTCATAGTTGCACAAAAAGCCCAAAAAAAACTTTTAAAATGGATGTTTTCAGCTATAATTAAGATGGAAATTTTTGATTGATAAAAACTGGAGGCCAAATCGATGAAATGGTCAGTTAACTTGTCGCCACCTAAACTACTGCGACTCAAAAATTTCTACTATTTCTGCATTTGATTTTTCTCAGGGCTTTTTTTCTGCCATATCAAAGCAAGACTTTCTGTTCAATCATGATTATAATTGTGAAAAAGCAATTAGTCAACTGAACACTTGCATTTTGTATTCAATATTAGCCCACATTTGTCTTTCTTTTCCAGGAAAACCCGAACTACACCTTGCCGTCTTATGTATCCCTGAAATCGACACTAACGCATTTCTGCGAGAAGAGTTTTGGTTTCTACGAATTAGTCGGATTCAAAATGGACTGGATGCACTCTATGCAAGACAGAAGAACAACAAATTACACCAATGAAATTGAAAAGACCATTGAACAGAAAAGATAAGAAATTGATCAGTGACTTCTTGGGTTCTGAAATTTCTTCTCTCCTTTTACTTTATTTAACTCGTGAAGAAAACTCAGAATTATTATTTTTTGCTTGAAAAATGGGTTCAAATCCAGATTTTTTGCTTGAAAATGGATTCAAAGCCAGAATCACATTTTTTTGAGGTTACAATACAATAAAGGATGTATAGATAAAATCAATCATACAAGGACAAAGCCCGAGCCGTAGACTCTTCTAGGAGTAACTGTGGATAAGCTTACATAAAGTTGGAGAGAAGAAGTACGCTAATTTACGGTCACTTATTAAAGATCAGGTGAACAAATTCTGAATATTGTTCATGTATAGTGTAATAATTTTTGTAATAAAAAACTTCTTTTCGGAGCTTGTAAAGTTGTCCATGATCAGAAATGGGGATATACGCTCATTTGTGAATTAGGTTTTTTAAGATTCAGCGAACGTAATTCAGAATATCACGTACTTCTATAAGTGCTGTTGAATTTTTTTTCGTTTTCTTCTCTTTTTGTTCTGAAAGAATTTCAACAAAAAAGAATCTGATAACAAAAGAAGTTCGTAGATACTTGAAAAATGTGCACTAACTTATAAATGCATGAAATCCCCTAATTATTTTTTCATGTTTTGAGTTAAGCTCGAGTTGATTTGCTAGAAGGTAGCCAAAATGTACTCTCTAATTATGAAAACTGAAATGTTGCAGAAACTACTTTTCAAATTCAAAAAATTAGATTTTAGATTTCCCAGCGGAATGAAAACTCTACTACTAATCGTTTTCTCAAATTGGGTTAATTCTATCGAAAAAGCCAAAAACAAAACGCTCTTATAAGTCAAAAATTATGAGACCATATAATTTTTCGTCTGAAAATCGAAAAATGAAAATTTTCAAAAAAAACTCATTCCTTTTTCTGTTCATTTTTGCAATCACTGACTTTTTTTCTTACTCTCTGTAAACTATGTCCAAAATATTGCCGCACTGCAAATATGTGTGAGATAACTTAACCCAAAAAACACGACCGATTAAAGTTTTAGGCTATCCAAAATTTTATACAAAAAATCTTCTAATAATGAAAAATGGCAAACTGTGACAGAAATTGATTTAACTGTAATTCAACAAGGCCATGGAAGAGAAAAACAGAAGAAATTAAAACATTTTTTAAAAAACAAAAAATAAAAAGTTTTTGTTTGCAGCAATTTTTCACACATCAAAAAAAAAAACAATTGAAAAATTCTCATTAGTTTGTGTTTCCACTTTGCTCTAAATTTATCTCACATGGTTTTACACTGATAGAAGTTGCGCAACAATTTTTAAGCGAGTTTCTTCTTACTCTCTGTAGACTATATCCAAATATTGCCGCACTGCAAATATGTATAAGATAACTTAACCCAAAAAACACGACCGATCATAGTTTTAGGCTATCCAATATTTTATAAAAAAAGCTTCTAATAATGAAATATGGCAAACTGTGACAGAACTTGGTTTAACTGTAATTCAACACAGCCATAGAAGAGAAAAACAAAAGAAATTATAACATTAAAAAAAAAATATATAAAGTTTTTGTTTTGCAGCAATTTTTCACACATCAAAAAAAAACAATTGAAGAACTCTCATTAGTTTGTGTTTCCACTCTGCTCTAAAATTAGATCACATGGTTTCATACTGATGGAATTTGCGCAATTCTAATGCAAGCTCGCATATTAATTTAAAATTTTTAAGTCAAAAAATTATAAGACCATATATTTTTCGTTTGAAAATCAAAAAATGAAATTTTTCAAAAAAAACTCATTCCTTTTTCTGTTCATTTTTGCAATCACTGACTTTTTTCTTACTCTCTGTAAACTGTGTCCAAAATATTGCCGCACTGCAAATATGTATGAGATAACTTAACCCAAAAAACAAGACCGATCAATGTTTTAGGCTATTCAAAATTTTATAGAAAAAATCTTTTAATAATGAAAAATGGCAAACTGTGACAGAAATTGATTTAACTCTATTTCAACAAGGCCATGGAAGAGAAAAACAGAAGAAATTATAACATTTTTTAAAAAACAAAAAAATAAAAAGTTTTTGTTTGCAGCAATTTTTCACACATCAAAAAAAAAACAATTGAAAAATTCTCATTAGTTTGTGTTTCCGTTTTGCTCTAAAATTATATCACATGGTTTTACACTGATGGAAGTTGCGCAACAATTTTCACGCTAGTTTTTTCTTACTCTCTGTAGACTATATCCAAATAATGCCGCACTGCAAATATGTATAAGATAACTTAACCCAAATAACACGATCGATCAAAGTTTTTTGCTATTCACTATTTTATAAAAAAAGCTTCTAATAATGAAATATGGCAAACTGTGACAGAACTTGGTTTAACTGTAATTCAACAAGGCCATAGAAGAGAAAAACAGAAGAAATTATAACATTTTAAAAAAAAAACAATAAAATGAAAAAGTTTTTGTTTCCAGCAATTTTTCACACATCAAAAAAAAACAATTGAAGAATTCTCATTAGTTTGTGTTTCCACTTTGCTCTAAAATTAGATCACATGGTTTCATACTGATGGAATTTGCGCAAATCTAATGCAAGCTCGCATTTTAATTTAAAATTTTTAAGTCAAAAAATTATAAGACCATATATTTTTCGTTTGAAAATCAAAAAATGAAAATTTTCAAAAAAAATTCATTCTTTTTCCTGTTTATTTTTGCATTCACTGACTTTTTCCAACTCTTTGTAGACTATATCTAAATATTGCCGCACCGCAAATATGTATAAGATAAGCTAACCCAAAACACGACCGATCAAAATTTTAGGCTATTCAAAATTTTATAGAAAAAATCTTCTAAAAATGAAAAATGGCAAACTGTGACAGAAATTGATTTAACTGTAAATCAACAAGGCTGTGGAAGAGAAAAACAGAAAAAATTATAACATTTTTTAAAAAACAAAAAACTAAAAAGTTTTTGTTTGCAGCAATTTTTCACACATCAAAAAAAAAAAACAATTGAAAAATGCTCATTAGTTTGTGTTTCCACTTTGCTCTAAAATTAGATCACATGGTTTCATACTGATGGAATTTGCGCAAATCTAATGCAAGCTCGCATTTTAATTTAAAATTTTTAAGTCAAAAAATTATAAGACCATATATTTTTCGTTTGAAAATCAAAAAATGAAAATTTTCAAAAAAAACTCATTCCTTTTTCTGTTCATTTTTGCAATCACTGACTTTTTTCTTACTCTCTGTAAACTATGTCCAAAATATTGCCGCACTGCAAATATGTATGAGATAACTTAACCCAAAACACGACCGATCAAAATTTTAGGCTATTCAAAATTTTATAGAAAAAATCTTCTAAAAATGAAAAATGGCAAACTGTGACAGAAATTGATTTAACTGTAAATCAACAAGGCTGTGGAAGAGAAAAACAGAAAAAATTATAACATTTTTTAAAAAACAAAAAACTAAAAAGTTTTTGTTTGCAGCAATTTTTCACACATCAAAAAAAAAACAATTGAAAAATGCTCATTAGTTTGTGTTTCCACTTTGCTCTAAAATTATATCACATGGTTTTACACTGATGGATATTGCGCAAAAATTTTCACGCGAGTTTTTTCTTACTCTCTGTAGACTATATCCAAATAATGCCGCACTGCAAATATGTATAAGATAACTTAACCCAAAAAACACGATCGATCAAAGTTTTAGGCTGTTCAATATTTTATAAAAAAAAGCTTCTAATAATGAAATATGGCAAACTGTGACAGAACTTGATTTAACTGTAATTCAACAAGGCCATAGAAGAGAAAAACAGAAGAAATTATAACATTTTTAAAAATTAATAAAATAAAAATTTTTGTTTGCAGCAACTTTTCACACATCAAAAAAAAAAAACAATTGAAGAACTCTCATTAGTTTGGGTTTCCACTTTGCTCTAAAATTAGATCACATGGTTTCATACTGATGGAATTTGCGCAAATCTAATGCAAGCTCGCATTTTAATTTAAAATTTTTAAGTCAAAAAATTATAAGAGCATATATTTTTCGTTTGAAAATAAAAAATGAAAATTTTCAAAAAAAATTCATTCTTTTTCCTGTTTATTTTTGCATTCACTGACTTTTTCCAACTCTTTGTAGACTATATCTAAATATTGCCGCTCCGCAAATATGTATAAGATAACCTAACCCAAAAAACACGACCGATCAAAGTTTTAGGCTATTCAAAATTTTATAGAAAAAATCTTCTAATAATGAAAAATGGCAAACTGTGACAGAACTTGGTTTAACTGTAATTCAGCAAGGCCATAGAAGAAAAAAACAGAAGAAAGTATAACATTTTTGAAAAAACAATAAAATAAAAATTTTTGCTTGCAGCAATTTTTCACACATCAAAAAAAAAACAATTGAAGAACTCTCATTAGTTTGTGTTTCCACTTTGCTCTAAAATTATATCACATGGTTTTACACTGATGGAAGTTGCGCAACAATTTTTACGCGAGTTTTTTCTTACTCTCTGTAGACTATATCCAAATATTGCCGCACTGCAAATATGTTTAAGATAACTTAACCCAAAAAACACGATCGATCAAAGTTTTAGGCTATTCAAAATTTTATTAAAAAAGCTTCACATAATGAAATATGGCAAACTGTGACAGAACTTGGTTTAACTGTAATTCAGCAAGGCCATAGAAAAGAAAAACAGAAGAAATTATAACATTTTTAAAAAAACAATAAAATAAAATTTTTCTTTGCAGCAATTTTTCACACATCAAAAAAAAAACAATTGAAGAACTCTCATTAGTTTGTGTTTCCACTTTGCTCTAAAATTAGATCACATGGTTTCATACTGATGGAATTTGCGCAAATCTAATGCAAGCTCGCATTTTAATTTAAAGTTTTTAAGTCAAAAAATTATAAGACCATATATTTTTCGTTTGAAAATCAAAAAATGAAAATTTTCAAAAAAAATTCAATCTTTTTCCTGTTTATTTTTGCATTCACTGACTTTTTCCAACTCTTTGTAGACTATATCTTAATATTGCCGCACCGCAAATATG